CCCCCCAATCCCCACGCATCCCGCAGGGTTCGTGCTTCCAGTCTTCGCGACGAGAAAAATACGGCAACGTGTTCAAGACGCACCTTTTGGGGCGGCCGCTGGTGAGGGTGACGGGAGCGGAGAACGTGCGGAAGATTCTGATGGGGGAACATCACCTGGTGAGCACCGAATGGCCTCGCAGCACCCGTATGCTGTTGGGACCCAACACCGTGGCCAATTCCATCGGGGACATCCATCGGCACAAGAGGAAGGTGAGGAGGTCCCCACGCGTGACCGCGGGGTGCGTGGGTGCTCGCGGGGGGGGTTAGAACGGGGGTCGGGGGGGGAGGGGGGCATTGCGTTCCCTTCTTCCCCTCTCCGCTCTCTTCTCCTCTCTCCCATCCGACCCACTGGCGTGTGAGGTCCCGCGTGGGTTCCCCCCCACCCCGCGTGCGTGCTCGGAGCCTTTGAGGAATTTAAAAGGGCGATGGTCAAGAAAAAAGGTGATCGGGGACGGCGGTGGCACGAGGGGGTTTCCCCTCGTTTTAATGCTTCGGAAGGAGGGTTGACTGTGTGATCGCTAGCCGCTTGTCGCCTCCGAGCCAACCCGCGGGCGTGACACGCGTGGAGTGGGTTGGAGGCCGAGAGCCGGCACGGAGCGCTCTTAAAAGGGCGATGCGCGCACTGTGGGGGGCCCACCGCGGTGCGGCTCTCGCGGTGCGGGGCACAGAAACGCGGCTCCGGTGTAACCAGGCTGTGCTGGAGGGGTATTGTGTGCAGAATGCATTCTCGCTGGGGTTGGTTCTCGTGGTGCTGAGCGTTGCAACGGGTTTTAGGGCAATTGGGGTGTTGATGGGGGGTCTGGGGGTGAAGTGTGGTGGCTGGGAGAGGTCAGTCCCTCCTGGGGGCTCACCTCGAATCCCTCTTTGATGCTTCTGGAGTCAGGCTGTAACCCACAACAGTGGGATCAACCAGGTTTTGGGGGGCTGTGAGACCATGTGGATGTGGGGAATCAACATCACCTCCCCGTCCCCCCTCCTCCCACCCCCCCAGATATAAATCCTGCAGGAAAAGGCAGAGAGGACAGTGTGGTGTGGCAGCTTTCACGTCCCTGTCGTGGTTTGTTGAGACCCTTTCCCGATTGGGTGGGGGCCAGGAGTTAATTTGGGGGTGGTGATGTTGAAGCATTGGGAAGACACGGCTGCACCCAGAGCCTCAATGCTATCTTTACCCCAATGCAACCTTTACCCCAATGCAAACTCCTCTCTGTGCCCCAGCAGGATTTCCTATTTCATCATATGTATTTCTACAAAAGCCCAACCCATTCACTTCTCTTTTCCCCTGGGGGAGAGAGTGAGATAACAGCTACCGAAGGTCCCTATTTGTCACATTTCTTAACATGATGCTGAAGTGCCTCCACTCGGTACCTGCAATCACACAACTCCTTACGCTGCTTCTTTGTGTCTTACGAGAGGAGAAATCCTTCCCAACATCCCTGTCCAAAATAAAGGGCAAGGTGCACGGGCTGCTTCCATCACAGAGCATTGGGGATAGCAGGGAGGGTGTGCAGGGACATGGGAGCCACTTTGAGCTCTGTACTAGAAAGCAAACGCTCTATAGGGCTGGGGATGCTGTTAAGCAGATGTTGAGCTTCCAGCAGCACAGGGTTGGTGTGATGGGCTCAGTTGGTTGCTCACTTTCCTTGCAAAGTGAGATATTACTCCCATTCCTCTACTTGGTCCCCTCTGCATTACTGCTATTATGGCACTGAGCATCCGCACCCTTTCCCCTGTGCCAACCACCCCTCACCCTGGGCTGAGATGTGCATCCAGAGATAGGGCAAACCAGCTTCTAACAGGAAGAAAACATCTCTCTTTTCTCCCAGTCAGATGGCAGTGGGACAGATTCAAATTTCTTTTCCAGGCCAGGTGCCTCCAAACAACAGAAATCAGCAGCACTTTTTGAGTTCCTTAGCCCTGAGCTTCTACTGCTTTTAATTGGCTGCTAATTCAGCTCTCCCTGTCCCAGCTGTGAAGAGGAAGCACCACGTTTGGCATTTCAGCTTGCTGCTTCCTTGTAGGTTGTTCTCTTGGGTTCCTGCTCTGTACTTTCTTGCAGGGAGCTGAGCAAAACCTGTAGGCAGAAGCTCTCAGTAAGGATGCTGTTATCAAGGGGAAATGCTCAAAGATTCAGAGCCCAGATGTTCCTTCATCACTCCTTGGCCATCCAGCTGAGCTCTCCACTTGCTGGGACAGATTGCCATTGAGACAAGAAGACAAGCTCCTCAATAGGTGCTCAGGAGGAGCAGAGCCATATTAACCAGATTATACCTATGGCAGCTCTGCTCTCCCATCCTCTTTGTATTACTTCTGCCCTCCAGCAAGCTGTTCAAGTTAAAACAAACTGGAGAAAGGTTTTATTTTGGGATATATGGGTTCTCCAAGTGTCACTGGAGCAGGGATAGAGACAGGGAGATGATGGCTTGTGGAGTGGGCAGCAGGGCTTGCATGCATAACGGCCTTTATTGCAGATGTCGTTAGTGCTGGCTCTGTGCTTGGCTCCAGATGAAGCTGCTCGATAAGAACAGTTTACAAGCAATAAAACAAAGCAACCTCAAACCCTTCAGCCTCCCTTTTGAGATAGATGTCTGCTGGGGGGTTGTTACCCCGCTGTGGGACACGGAGTTGATGATGCTGGAGGTGGATTGGGGCCACCCGTGCTGCAGTGAGGGCAGTTTGTTCTTTCGCCATGGCACTTTTGTCCCCAGATCACCTTGTGGGGAGGAGCAGCTATATGGCTGAGCATGGCTGTGGCTTGGAGGTGGTGCCCCATCCCTGGAGGCATTCGAAGCCAGTCTGGATGCGTCTCTGGGCAGCCTGGTCTGGTTGTGGCAACCCTGCACATAGCAGGGGGTTGAAACTAGATGATCATTGTGGTCCTTTTCAACCCAGGCCATTCTAGGATTCTATTGTGGATGCCATAGGGGGAAGGATGTGCATCATCCCTGATGAGGGTGGTCCACAGGGAGGAAGCTGCTGTTCTATAGGGACCTATAGAGGATGGGTGACTGGGGATAGTGCCTTGGTTCTCTCCCATCCTGCTCTTTTTGGTGGCAGAGCCATGCCATCTCTGCTATCTGAACCTGGGTGGGACCCTGTCCCAACGTGGCTGCTCACATTCAGTCCACATCTTTCCCCATGGATGCCCTCAGTTCCTATTCACGAAACCCCGATCAGCATGCTTTGCTTTTTGGCCTTACGTGTGTTTTGGAAGTGTGGATCCTTGGGTCTCCATGACCTGCAGCAAAGGCAAGGCAAACTGTGCAAAGGGTAGCATGCATTCTGGCTGTATGAGATTTAAGGCAACCCTGGGATTGGGATTTGTGGCAGCCCTGTGAACAGCAGGAGCTGAAACTCGATGATCCTTATGGGTCCCATCTAACTCTGGCTATTTTATGATCTTTATGTCCCTCCCAACCATTTGAGGACGGAATGGATGTTGGGAGGTTGTGGGGAAGCTGTTGTGAGGTGCTCCTGTGATGCTGCACAGCATCTGAGTGCAGAAGGGAATGGGAACTGGGAATGGGCAGCTTTAGGGCAAGGGAAGGAGTCTCCTAATGCTGGCAGTGCAGCAGGGCAGGGGAAGGTGGGATGCTGATGTTCCTTGGGAGCACTCAGACTTGGCAGGAGAGCTCTGGACTGGCCAGATTCGTGCTGTGTTCCAGCATCGTAATCCCAAAATAGGCCTGGCTGGCTTAAAAAAAGGAAAAGACAGAATAAAATAAAAGGAGTCCGTGGGCTGGGTAGACGTCCCAGACCCAGAGACTCGAGGAGGAAGCAGACAGTGGTGCAGAGAAACGGCCTGTTTTGTCTCACTGTCCAAAACTACATCATTCATTAACACACCACAATTAATGTTCTGCCTCGGAGGCATACAAGTGTTGAGCTTATTAGCACCAAGTAGAAAGGTCTGAGGCTTTAATATAGTTTGCGAGAGGATTAAGAACACAAAAGGGGCCATAAATTTACAACCAAATATAAACCAGCTGCTGTGGGCAGGGCTGGGGGGAGGGAAGGAGGGTGGAGGAAGGAGGGATGGGAACAGCGGGCGCTGCTTCCCCGCTGCCAAACCCCCTCACCCGTGCTGTTAAGAGACGTTGATTACTTTTTGGCATCCCCCCACCCCACCTCGCCACCCTCCCCAGTAGGAATCGGAGCCGTCCTCTTTCCAGCCCGGCCCACCCATATCGCCCATCGGGTCAGATCTGTGGGCTGGGGTCCAGCTGGATCAGGCGTCCTCTCAACACGTTGGCATTGAGCCCCTTCTCTCCATCACGGGCTGCTGCCCTGAGAGCTGTAACCCACGGGCAAAAGGCGCCGGGGCCGGAGAAAAAGGCTCTCATTGATGTTGAAGGGCTCCGGTTGGGGAAGAATTTGTCGGCTAGGTTGGCTCATTGACTTTAGACCAAATAGTGCTGTCATCTACAGCGGTGTAAATCCAGAGTCATTCCAATGGATTAAAAAAAAAAAAAAAAGGCCAAAAAAAAAGAAAAAAAAGCAAAGTGCAGGCGCTCCTGGCTGAAATACAAATGTCCTGAGTGCTCCAACCGTGCTCCGAGGAGCTGTGCTGAGGCTGAATGCGATGCAGCCCCAATGCCACCTCAGGCTCTGCCATCTCTTTGGGTTCGGTCTGAAGCCAGGAGAGTCTTCACAGATGGCCTGCAGGATGAGATGTGATGGCTGTAAGTTGTGCTGGGTGAGGTTCTTGTTGGGTATCAGGACGTTGTTCTTCCAAAGAGCAGTCAGCCATTGGCACAGCTGCCTGGGGAAATGATAGAGTCGCCATCCCTGGAGATGCTTCAGAGCCACGGAGATGTGGCACTGAGGGACGTGGTCAGTGAGCATGGTGGGATGGGTTGGGGTTGGTCTTTGAGCTCTTGGCCGACCGTATTAATTCTATATATTCTCATCCTGGTATGATGCATTGAAATCTTGCAAAGCCATCCTCAGGATTTTGGTGGCAGAGCTGAGATTTCCCTGCAGCTGGAGGAAGGGCTTTTCCAAGCGTCTTCCCCTACTGCTGCCATGCCAAAGCATGCTTGTAAAGTCACATTTATTTCTTTGGGATGGAGTGGGCTATGTCATGGGGCAGGTGCTTCCCTCCCTGCTCAGTTTTTTGCCAGACTCTCCACTGATATCTTCTCTTTTTCTCCCTCCTTGTGTTCAGTTTCCAATTTGAGGAGTGGTGACAGTGTATGAAGTGATTTTTTTGCTGTCCCCAGATACACTGCTTCCCCATGAATGAATGGGTATGGACCAGAAAAGGGGGTGATGTGGGGCTCATAGGTGCTGAAGAACCACAGCATGTTTAGGTAACCTCATAATGAGGGTCAGACAGCCTCAGTTGCTGAGTGTAACTGCATTCTGCTGGTGCTGACATTGGGATTATTATTATTATTTTGAGGGGAGGCAGATGGGATGCTGAGATAGATCTACGTTGTCTTGCTTCTTTTCTGTCTGTGCATTACGGAGTGCTGCTCATTTCAGAGGGCAGGAGCAGAAAAATGTGGCTTTTCCCTCTAAATGAGTGCAGGTTTCTCCCATGATGGGAGGATGGCAGGAAAATGGCAGGGGCAAGAGATAGCCTGCATTTGGACATGCTTCTTCCCCTTATCTTAACATGGGGAGGGATCATAGTATCAAAGAATGGCTTGGATTGGAATGGACCTCAAGGATCATCAAGTTTCAACCTCCCTGTCACAGGCAGGGCAACCAAATTCTATATCTAATACTAGACCAGGTTGCCCAGGGCCCCATCCAACCTGGCCTTGAACACCTCCAGGAATGGAGCATCTACAGCCTCTATGGGCAGCCTGTGCACCAGTGCCTGCCCACTCTATGGGAGGAGACACATTTCCTAACATCCAATCTGAGATATAGAGAGAGAGAGAGCGTGGTCTGTGTTGGGACATTGCTTGGGATGCTTTCCTAACACACACCAAGCCCTACGGGTAGCCAATTGGTTGTAAAAGCATCTCTGTGCCAATCATGCCTTCATTCTGCTGGGTAGCAGCTCTGAGCAGCCAGGCTGGATGAGGTGTCAGATCCCAAATTCTCTTCCTGGAGGGGAAGAATGAAAAACTCTTTTCCTCTTTGTTATGATGGTTGTGCTTGGATGGGAAGGCTTGGCCAGTGCTGAGCATCATTCCTGCTAATTATTCTTCATCCTAGCTGCTGAGTGAGTCTTTTTCTATGTTTCACTTGAATGTCCCCTCCTCTTTGGTAGGGCTTAAGGATGGGGATGGGGTATTTTCCATGCAGGACCGGGGGCTGCTCGCTGCCACCTCTGCAGGGGATGGCGGAGCTGAGGCACCGGGAAGGAATTTTCTGCCTTAGGAAAGCCATAAATCTTTAAATATCCTGTTTGCACTGTGAGACGGATTCGGAAGTTTCCAGCTGAGACCTGGGGTCTCCCTGGGCAAATGTGGGTGGGTGTGAGCGTTACCCCCACAGCAAACAGAATCCCCCAAGGGTGGCTTTTTGCGGCCGTACCAAAGATGTGCAAAACACGAGGGCTCCTCTTAGCATCTCCAGCAGATGCTACCGACCCCGTCTTTTTTACAGGTATCCTCACTTAGTGCTGTTTTTTTGCTTCTTGGCTGCTCGGGAGGAACTTTTTGCAGCGCTGCTCCTTGGTTGGGCTTCACTAGAGGGCGCAGGGATTTTAGGCTAGAAGCACTGCGACGGCTGTCAGGGAAAGCTGGCTGCCTTTTCCTCCTTTTTAATCAACTGGAAAGATGCAGGGTTGAACTGGAGGTGACTGGAAGGGGATCCAGACTTGTGTCTGGCTGGGGAAGGATCTGCTGACATCTGGGATTAGGCAGCGTGGAGCGCAGCGACGCCAGGTTTGCAGCCGGACGGGACCGGAGCAGCCCCATAGCAAAAGGACAGCTCAAAAAGAAAAAGGCAAAAGAAAAAGACCCAAACTCACCAATTCTAAATGCTCACTGTTTTCAGGTTGCTGACCCTTCGGCAGGGGCTCCTTTTCTCTCTTTGAGGGTTTCCTCCTCTGCTGTTGCTCTTTGGGATGATTTGGCACAACAGGACCAGAGGTGTTCCTGGGACTGTGGGGTTCGTCCCTTGCTAGGAGAGATGCTGGGCAGGGATGAGGAAGGATGGGGTTTGCACCAGATTGGGAGTTGCTTCTCCCACCTCAGTGCACACACACTGTCAGCTCTGCCTGAATATCACTGCTCCTTCTAGGCTTAAAAGTAGCTCTGGAAGTGCAGAGGGGCACTGAAGTGCAGATGAGCACCAAAAGTGGCAGCCAAATCATCTCTCACCCTCTTCATGGTCACTCCATGGCTTGTTCATTCAGCCCTCCCCGTGGTTCATTCATTTCCTGGCTCCATTCATTCATTCATTCCTTCATAGACAAGTGGGACGGCTGTCTGTCTGCAGGCACATCTGTCTGCTTGTCCTCTTGCATCTTCTTTATCCCCTCATGTCTTCTCTCTCCTTCCCAGCCCTCCTCCCACATACATGCTGCTATTCCTGCCCCTACATGTGGGGTGTGATGAGTTCTACCCAGGTCTCAGCCCTGGAGGCATTCAAGGCCAGGCTGGATGTGGCCCTGGGCAGCCTGGTCTGGTGCTTGGCGACCATGCAGATAGGAGGGGGGTAAAACTAGATGAGAATTGTGATCCTTTTCAACCCAGGCCATTCTGTGATGAAGATTCTCAGCTCAGGCAGTAAGTTATGAAGCAGTAATTGTCGATCCTCCCACCTTCCCTGCTAGGGGACAGAGGTGTTATTTCACCAAACAACCTCCCAGCTGAACGCCGCGCTTGAGCAACGGAGGGGTCGCCGCCAGGAAAATGTTACCTTTCCCTTTTGAGTGCTGACTGCGGAGGAAATTCTCACATTTACAGCTTCGGCGCTCATGGAAAGAGAGGGGGAGGCTTTGGTTTTTCTCCTTTTCTCCTGGGTTTGATAACTTTGCAGCCCCCCTCAGGAACCCGGCCACCGGTGAAGGCTCTCGGCTCACTCCTGGGGAGCTGGCTTTCATTTGATTTCTCCCGGAGGCCTGGCATGCATGCGGCGGTGCGTGCGTGCAAGCCCGCCGTGTGGGGAGGTTAATAAAAAATAAACAAACAGCACTTTTTCCTCCGGTGCACTCTGGGAGGGATGCGGCGGGGATGCCGAATGAAAGCCCGTGCTGTGGGGCTGTGCTGATGGGGGGGGGGGGGGGGGGGACATTCCTGGCATTTCTCAGCTCCTCGCGCAACACGCGGGCTCGGGCCCAAATTGGAGGAAGGAGCCGTTAGCATGGGGGCCTGGGGAGGCTCGCTCCTGAGCTGTGTTTACTCGCAGAGCTTAAATTAATAGTGTCTGCTGACATCAGTTTTTAGCCCGGCTTCCCAAGGAAATGAGCCTTGTGCGATCGCAGCCTGTGCGTGTGTGCGTGCCTCTTCTCCCCAAAGATCAGCCAGGTTTTGAAGAGGTCCTAAAGGCCTTGAAGGAATTCCCCCATCCATGGAGGTGTTCAAGGCCAGGTTGGATGGGCCCTGGGCGACTTGAGCTGGTGGGGGGCCAACCAGCCCACAGCACGTGGAACGGGTTGCCCAAGGAGGTTTTGGATGCCCCATCCCTGGAGGCGTTCAGGGCCAGGCTGGATGTGGCTCTGGGCAGCCTGGGCTGCTGGTTGGTGACCCTGCACATAGCAGGGGGTTGAAACTAAATGATCATTGTGGTCCTTTTCAACACAGGCCATTCTGTGGTTCTATGAAGTGGTTAGAACTGGATTATCTTTAAGCTCCTGTCCAACCCAGCCGGTCTATGATTCTATGAAAACCTTTGTGTGTGCTTGCGCACAACCCAACAATTAGAATCCCCATGGAAGAGCTCCATTTGTAGCATCCAGCTCATGGGATGGATGGAGCTGGGAACTGGGATGTGTGGAGCTACAGAAAGTTCTCCTTCCATCTTGCTCTCTGTACGGTGCGCTATTTCATATCACAGAATCATAGGATGGCCTGGGTTGAAAAGGACCACAATGATCATCTGGTTTCAACCCTCTGCTATGTGCAGGGTTGCCAGTCACCAGACCAGGCTGCCCAGAGCCACATCCAGCCTGGCCTTGAATGCCTCCAGGGAATGGGGCATCCACAACCTCCTTGGGCAACCTGTTCCAGTGCATCACCACCCTCTGTGTGGTCTCCATCCTCCCATCCTCTGCTCGCTGCTGGAGGGAGACTGTGGGGATCCATGTTGTTGCTGCTGATGAGAATCAGCCTAGGGAGGATTGCCCATGGAGGATCCTCATCAGCCCTTCTTGGCAGCTATTTTAGAAACTGGTGACTCTGGATGATAAATACCAGATGATGCTAAATCTGCTTAGCATGGGGGATCTGCGATGTTCATTTCTATGGGCAGAAGTGGGCCATTAGAGAAGGCAAAGAGAAGGATGTTGGGGCTCCATAGAATCCTCTGCTCATTCTTCTGTAGGTTTTCTCCAAAATCTTCAGCCACGAGGCTCTGGAGAGCTATCTCCCCAAGATCCAGCTGGTGATCAAGGACACCCTGCGGGCTTGGAGCAGCAACCCCGATCCCATCAACGTCTACCACGAGGCCCAGAAGCTCACCTTCCGCATGGCCATCCGCGTCCTGCTGGGCTTCCGCATCCCTGACGAGGAGCTCAACCGTCTCTTCGAGGTCTACCAGCAGTTTGTGGAGAATGTCTTCTCCTTGCCTGTGGATCTGCCCTTCAGTGGCTACAGGAGGGTAAGGGATTTGGGCTGAGCCCTCCCCTAGCCAGTAGCATCGATATGGGATTAGTGGGGCAATGGGTAATCCCTACCTCTGTGTGTTCTTGGTGGGGATGTCTCTCACCATCTGATGTCTTTTGGGTTACAAAGTTCTGTTTTGGTAGAGTGGAGAGGGAGATGCATTCATGGATTGTTCTTCAGAGCACTGGGTGCTCCATGGCTCAATGCAGTGGGGAGTGTGATTGTGATTTGCTCAGGTTTATTGGGTTATTTACCTCACAGCATCACTTGGTTGACTTTTGTTTGTTTTTGGGAGCCTTCTCCTATCGATGCACTGCCTGCCAACTGGGCTTAACAGAGTGGCAGCCCTTTGAATAACAGCTCCAGTTCTTCTAGGCAAAAGATTCTTCTATGCAAAGATGCAAAATGAAAACATAACAAAAAAATCTGTTCAGTTTTTATTTTTCTTCACGAATATTGGTACATACTATAATTTTTTTTCAATCTTTTGGTTTTTTTTTTTTTTGTAACTGTCACCACAGATGTTGTTATTGTTATTTAACCTCTTGAATGAACCCAATCGCTGGCAGCCCCAAAAGGTTGGATTTGTGTTAGGGAGGCCAAGCACTAAAATTGGGAAGCCCATTCTCCTTCCAGGAAGAGGATCCTCTTGGATGAATTGGCCTTCCTTAAAGAGACAGTTTTCCCAGGGACTTCTTGCATCCCAGGGAAAGAGGGAGGACTGTGAACTGCTGCAGAACTGGGGCTCCCACATCACAACTGCCATTTGCACGGCGGTCCTGATTACTGATGCCTGTAATCTTATATGCTTAAGGCTTGCTTCTCCTGGCTGGGGAATGACACTCCAGGATTTTTGTACTCCTGTCTGAGCACTTGCAACAGCAGTTTGATTCCGTAGCCGCATCCTGCTTGAGCACATCTGCTTCTCTGCGTATGCTGGAGATATACAGGGTGGGGATGGTGGTGATGGTGTTGAGCCCTACAAAGTCTCATGGTTCCTGCTCCACAGGGCATCCGGGCACGTGAGACACTGCAGAAGGGGCTGGAGAAAGCCATCCAGGAGAAACTGCAGAACACACAGGGTAAGGACTACGCCGACGCGCTGGATATCCTGATAGAGAGCGGCAAAGAACACGGCAAGGAGCTCACCATGCAGGAGCTGAAGGTAAAGATCTTCCCATGGCCACCTGGGGGCTTCCCCAACAGCAAAGCTGATGTATGGGGGATTTTGCGGGGGCAGAGCTGGGATGGGTTTTCAGATCTGGGGGTCCCCACTGTGTTTGTAGATCCCACACCCTGGTGGTGCCAACGAGCCAGTTGCTTTCCCACAGGCTGTATTTATTTGCAGATTATGCTCATCCCTTATTAAAAGCACTGCCAGCGAATACCAAAAGAACATATAAGCTTGCTGAAGCTTTCAGCCCTGATCAACTTCACCTCTCTACTTGTGCAATCCCCTCTTTATGTGTATGAGCCCTTGACGGCTTATTATTTGCAGCAGACTCACAGCATCATCACTTATCTTAGAGTCACAGAATCACAGAATATTTGGGGTTTGAAGGGACCTTGAAGCCCACTCAGCCCCATCCCCTGCCATGGGCTGATTACTGCCCATCACCTCAGTCTGCCCAGAGCTCCATCCATGGCCTTGGGCTTCTACAGGGATGGAGCACCCACAGCTCTCAGGGCAGCCTGTGCCTCCTTGCTCTTTGAGTAAGGAATTTCTTCTTAACGTCTAACCCGAATCTCTTCTCTTTTAGCTTAAAACCATTCCCCATTATCCTATCACTATCAGACTATGTAAAAAGCCACTTTCCCTCTTGTTTATAAGCTGCCTTCAAGTACTGGAAGGCTGAAATGGGGTCTCCCTGGTGCCTTGTTTTCTTCCAATGCTTGGTCAGGCACTGGCACAGCTGTCCAGGGAGTGGTGGAGTCACCATCCCTGGAGGTGTTCAAAAACAGTGAAGATGTGGCATTGAGTGACATAGTCAGTGAGCACAGTGGGATGGGTTGGAGTTGGACTTGGTGATCTTAGAGATCTTTTCCAACCTCAATGATTCTGTGATTCTCCAGGCTGAACACCCCCTGCTCTCAGCCTGTTCCCGTAGCAGAAGCCTGTGAGCATCCTCCTGGCCTCTTCTGGTCCTGAACCAAATCATAGAATCCTAGAATGGCCTGGGTTGAAAAGGACCACGATGACAATCTGGTTTCAACCCCCTGCTGTGTGCAGGGTCCCCAGCCAGCAGACCAGGCTGCCCAGAGCCACATCCAGCCTGGCCTTGAATGCCTCCAGGGATGGGGCATCCACAGCCTCCTTGGGCAACCTGTTCCATAGCTTCACCACCCTCTGGGTGAAGAACTTCCTCCTAGTATCAAACCTAAACCTCCCCTGTCTCAGTTTAAAACCATTTTCTCTTGTCCTATCAGTATCCACCCTCATACCCATTCCCCCTCCTGTTTATAAGTTCCCTTCACGTACTGGAAGGCCACAATGAGGTCTCCCCAGAGCCTTCTCTTCTCTAAGCTAAACGAGCTAAAGGGCTGACAACAGCAGGACTAGGGGAAATGGATCCAAGTTGAAGGAGGGAAGATTTAGGTTGGATGTTAGGGGGAAGTTCTTTACAAGGAGAGTGGTTAGGCCCTGGAACGGGCTGCCCAGGGAGGTTTTGGATGCCCCGTCCTTGGACGTGTTCAAGGCTAGGTTGGAGGGGTCCTGGGCAACCTGATCTGAATGTGTATGTTTGGTGGCCCTGCTAGGCAGGGGGGTTGGAACTACATGATCCTTGAGTTCCCTTCCAACCCGGGTGATTCTGTGATTCTGTGAGCCCAATTCCATCAACTTTTATTCATAGGAGTGGTGCTCCAGCTCTCTGTTGTCCAATGTCCATTGTTGCCTGGGATGCAGGGGCAGCTTGCTACGGCCCACACGCCTATTCCATCATACTATGGCTGTCTGTCTGTATGTCCTTCCAGCCTCACCTGTTTTCTCTTATCCCCTTTCAGGATGGTACTCTGGAGCTCATCTTCGCCGCCTACGCCACCACAGCCAGCGCCAGCACCTCTCTCATCATGCAGCTGCTCAAACACCCGCGGGTGCTGGAGAAGCTGCGGGAGGAGCTGCGCAGCAAAGGCATCCTTCACAACGGCTGCATCTGCGAGGGCTCCCTGCGCCTCGACAACATCAGTGGCCTTCACTACCTGGACTGTGTCATCAAGGAGGTGCTTCGACTCTTTACCCCCATCTCTGGAGGGTACCGGACGGTGCTGCAGACCTTTGAGCTGGATGTGAGTATTGCCATGTGGTTGTGTCTTTTGCAAAGCGTGCTTGGAACTGGTTTAGAGGAGGGCTGGGAATGATAAATTTGGTTCCGATGGTGGCGGCGGGTGGAATTGTTGCAGATTCAGAAAGTGGACAGGGATTATACTCACTTGGGATGTCAAACTGGGGACTGCCGTGGTGCTTCCAATAGAATGGGATGGTTCAGTCTGGACAACAGGACTCTCAGGAGAGACCTTATGGCTGTCTGAAAGGAGGTTGGAGCGAAGTGGGGGGCAGCCTCTGCTCCCAGGTAACAGCAATAGGATGAGAGGTCATGGCCTCAAGTTGTGCAAGGGAAAGGTCAGGTTGGATATTAGGAGAAATTTCTACTCTGAAAGAGTGGACAGCCACTGGCACAGGGAATGGTGGGGTCACCATCCCCGGAAATGTTCCAGAACTGTGGAGATGTGGCACTGAGGGATGTGGTCAGTGGGCACACTGGAGATGGTTTGGGCTTGGACTTGGTGATTATGGAGGTATTTTCCATCCTTAATGGTTCTACAATTCTAAAGCTATCCTCCTGCTCCCTCTCCCTGTTGACCCTCTCTGCTCTTCTCTTCCTTTCTACCCTCCCCTCCATAGGGTTTCCAGATCCCCAAGGGCTGGAGCGTGATGTACAGCATCCGGGACACCCATGACACCGCCCCTGTCTTTAAGGATGTGGACGTCTTCGACCCCGACCGCTTCGGGCAGGGCCGCAGCGAGGACAAGGAGGGCAGGTTCCACTACCTCCCCTTTGGAGGGGGTGTACGGACCTGTCTGGGCAAACACTTGGCCAAGCTCTTCCTCAAGGCCTTGGCCATCGAGCTGGCCAGCACCAGCCGCTTCGAGCTGGCCACCAGGACTTTCCCCAAAATCACCTTGGTGCCCGTGGTCCACCCAGTCGACGGACTCAAGGTTAAATTCTTCGGACTGGATTCCAACCAGAACGAGATCCTGACGGGGACGGACGTCATGTTGGGGGCCACTGTGTAGAGCCCACCAGGGATGGGCGGCTGGGGATGGAGGGGTGGGGTGGGGACAGGGAGATGAACAGGAGGGGAGAGGAATGAGGAGCTTCTCCACGACGCTCACTTGGCAGAGCCTCCAGGTTGGGACTGTTTCCTCCACCGGCAAAGCTGCCAAAATCCTTCTGCTCCGGGCATGGAGGAGCTTGGGGTGGCATCGTGCCTCTCGCTTCCTCCAGAAAGAGGAAGAGTTGTGAATCCCGAGTAGAACTGGGACTGTCTGACCATACACACTATCTAAATATTATAAATATATATATATAAATATCTATAAAACACTTCTGCTGCCAGGAAGAGCGCTGCAAAGCCCCGATGGTGGGAAAGGCTTTGAGAACCAGCTGGCAGCCAGTGGTCTGGTGGCCCAGCGTGGCCCGCCAAGCTTGTTTTTAACAGTGTTAAATTAGCTGGTGATAACAGTGTTTTATTTTTGTTGTTGTTGTTGTCGTTCGTTTGTTTGGTTGTATTTGTTTTTGTTTTTTTTTTTTTATTATTATTTCGGGGCTCTGGGGGCTGCCCTGGGCGAAGGGGAGACGAGCGATGCCCGTTCCCATCCCACCCATTTGGGCAGGTTTGGGGGAGCGCTGCCCTTTCGCCTCCGCCGAGGGACCAAAAAACCCTGTGGTGCCTCGTCTGAGGCTGAGCCGTCTCTCCAAAGCCTCAGATGAGTGTGGTTTGGGGTGGGGGGGAGCTTCTTTTTTTTTTTTTCTCCTTGAGTTTCCTGCTGCTGCTACACATCCTGTGTGCACCGCTCCCCCTTCCCCACGCAGAGGCATCCCTTTGGGGGCATTTTGGTGCCTTTGCTCTCCCTCAGGGTGTGGGCACCTCCACGATCTGCTGCAGCTCTGTATGCACTGAGCTGTTCTGTTTGGGTGCACCCTCTTCCACCGGAGGCATTTTTGCATTAAAGGTGATCTCTATCAATAAGCCACCGTCCGCATCGTTTGTCTCGTGTCTGGGTTTTGGTTGGCGATGGGAGAGCTCTGCAGGAAGGAAAGAAGGGCTGTGCCCAATGCATGTGAAGCACAAGGTATCATGAGCTTCATATGCTGGGTGGGTTTATTTGGTTTGATTTGATTTATTTTACTGGCATGAGAAAGGCTTCCATGTGTTGCGTGAGACAGGCGGGTTGTGTTGAAAGCAGACGTGGCCTCACATGCAGGTGCAGAGCAAAGGCTGGTGTTTGGTTCAACCTGAGCATCAGGTTGGGAAATCCCATTGGGATTGGAGGCCCTTCATCTCGGGGAAGATCCAAGCAGCCTTGTTCTCTCTCCCATCTCCTACCCTGGAGGATGAGGTAAGGATAAGGACCGTGGGGTGGTGGGGAAAGATCTCATGTTGGGGTGGGCAGCTTGGCTTTTGGCTTTAAAGGTGTCCAGATAAGTCGAAGGGGCTGAAATGAGAAGGATGAGGGGGCAGATGTCGCTTACCAGGTTGCTTTGCAGGTTGTGCTCTTGATGAGTGGGTGCCTCGTTGGAAGGTCAAAGGATGTGTGGGTGAGCAGTGATGATGGCTGCCTCTGCCATCGTCATCTGGTGGGGTGAGGAGCAGGGAGGCAGAGTTTTAGCTGGGGGAAGCACTTGAGGTTGGGTCAGCCAAGCTGCCAGAAACCCCCAAGAGCACCCCAACGGATGGTCTCCACTCACACCAGGGAGCACGACTTGATTTTCAGGTGGATTTCACCCCATGTAAAGCTCCCAGTCCTCTAAAGGATGCCATTGAGGTCCGGGTCTTGCCTTCTAGTCGGTACGCAATGTGCCAAACCCAAGAGGGAGGTCTGAGTGTTATGTGCCACCTGGGCACTGTGTCCCTGGAGTGGAGGATCAGCCAGTTTGCTGACGTGGGAACTCCAAGGGAAATGCTAGGCACTAGTGAGACTTCAGGCATTGGAGAGAAAACATTTCCAGAGATAAAAAGGGCTTAATTGCAATGAGAATCCCGACAGGAAGCAAAGGAGAACATAACCTGAATGCAGTGAGAATGGGTGAGTTTCCCGTGGGCAAGTGTGTAGAGAAAGGTTTGCAGCATGCAAGGGTCATGGTCCATGGTGTTGGCTGATGATGAACACGTGTAGGGCATGGAGATGGGGCAGGAGGTGGAGGATGCAGGATGAAAACACACCAGGAACCCACAGCCAGGAGTCCCCCAGACATACTAGGGGGGGGAAACTGTGGCTGAGGGAGAGAGGAGGTGGAAAAATGGGAGAGATGGAGATGGGACGGCCAACAAGGGCCAGAGGTTCAGCCTCAAGTTCAGCGGTGGCTTCATGCCATGCTCCCATTCGTGAGATGTCTGGGGTGAATTTGGGATGGACTCAGTGAAGGGCGGCCAGTGGAGGGTTTGGTTCAACTGTGATTTGAACTTCCAGTTACAAAGTGAAAAACCAAACATGCTTTTGAGTGAGTGGTTGACTGGAGAGTGGTAATGTCAGATGCATACATCCATTATATATATATGCTTACACCATGTGTATATATAATGTGTGTGTGTAATTAATCTAGGCATCAGTAAGCCAGGCTTTTGTTTTGCCATTCCTAACTAATATAACTTGACTAAAAAAGAAGTTGCTGCAGTGGGTTTGCAGAATAAAGCACTTTGAATCTCAGAATTATGTTGTGTTTTTTTTCTTAGCACAGTTCCAATTCGCTATAATGTTATTTTATACACAGTTATTATTATTTTTTGTCTGTCTTTATAAACTATTATAAGTACTATTTTTGTTATAATTCAAAATAGATATTTAGTATAAAGTTTTGTTGTTAAATATTTGTTATTTAGTAAAATATGATTTTTTTTTTTTCCCTCTCTATTGTAAACATCGTCTGGAAAAATATTAATATGTTTTATCACAGTTGTTTTTAATATTAAAAGAAGAAAACAAAAAAAGCACTTGTGGGGTTTTTTTCCTTATGAAATCGGTGCCGTGTGAACATGTGTTTCAGTCATGTGGTTTTTAATATGTATATAATATCATGTGTTGCATATTAAAATGAATGTTGTGTATTTTGTGATCTTAAAAAATAAAAATAAAATAAAAAAAATAATAATCCACGTGGCTGTTTTGTAGACTCCTGTCGTAAAAAGAGTTGAACCTCCCAGCCTCTTGTCTGCACCTCGAAGGGCTTGTGGCTGCCTTGGGGTCCATGGGTGACATCACGTCCTGGGACCCCATAAATGGGGTTTTTTTGCACCAGTCTGGAGACGTGTGTCAGCCTCCATGGCATGGATTTCAATACAGGAAATTCCCCCTTTGAAATAAAAAATACTTTTTTTTTTTTTCTAGGGAGGAGGACACTTGCTGAACCGAGTTGCCCAGAGATGTGAAGTCTCCATACCTGGAGATGCTCAGAGCCCAACAGGACTCGGTCAGGGCACCCAGGTGCTCGTTCTCTGCAGTCCTGAAGGTTTGGTGAGCTCTGGGACACCCCATTTCTGCCCAAAGCTTCTGCTCTTCCCCAGTGAGAGACACAGGCTGGGTAAAGAGGAGAGAGGACCCTATTTGTGGCACCGAGTGTTTAGTGGGCAATGGGTTGATGGCTGGACTTGTTGTGTTCAAGAAACACGTAGATATTACACTAACGGACATGGCTTAGCAGGGAAATATTGGTGGCAGGTGGACAGTTGGACTGGACGACCTTGGAGGTCTTTTCCAACCTTCATGATTCTTACGATTCCATGATGATCTTCGTGGCCTTTTCCAACTTCAACGATTCCATGATTCTTTTTGGATCTATTCAGGTTGAATATTGAAGCACAGGCCTGCCCAGAGAGCGGTGGGGTCGCCATGCCTGGGGGCGTTCCAGAACCATGGAGATGTTGCACTGAGGGATGTGGTCAGTGGGCATGGTGGGATGGGTTGGAGTCAGGCTTGGGTATATTAAAAGGTCTTTTCCAACCTTAATGACTCCATGATTTAGCAGGCATGATGGGGATGCCTGATCTAAAGTGATGGCTAGACTTGAGGAGAGGTCTGAAAGATTCCACTGCCTGCTCCAGGAATCAGCTCCTCAGCAAAGCCAGCGTGTCCTGGAGTCAACTTTTAGCAACTGTTGGGTGTTGGCACCAAGTGCTCTGCTTATGGTGTGAAACCTAAAGCTCGTGGTGGGAGTGGGAGCTGCACCTGTCCCGGGGTGGAGATGGGTGGGTTGGGAGCACTTAGCGAGTCGTTAAGTGATTATTAAAGCCATTAGCTTCTGGATGGGTCATCTTTTTCTCGAAAGGCGAGAGAGCCGGAGGAATTAATGAAATCCTATGCAGCTGGCTGGAAAATGTAACTGTGTGGCTCCATCCTGTGCCCCTTTTGCTTCAGCCAGTGGTTTGTGCTCATCCTGACCTCCTTCTGCCCTCCGCCCCGAGCAGGGGGATGGGGGGGGAGGGGAGCGATGTGTCTCCACTGTTCCCTTCCAACCCCACCACGCAGTTACAACACCCACCTCCACCTATTTAATAGCAGGGGAGGTCGTTCTCCTTCTAGCCTTTTCTTTTGCGGATTCCTTCCCCCAATTCCCCTTAGCTTCTATTTATTTTTTCCTTTCTTTATTATGATTAGCATTTTGTATTTATTTTCTTTATGGCTTCAGGAAGGAGCTGCAGCACTCTAAGGGGCTGATGCAGCTCAGCTGTGCTCCTGGTTCTCCCATTCTGCTCCAGGAACCAATCTCTCCTTCCTCACTGTGCTTTAACTTCAGCTGAGCTCTCATAAAGTTCTCTTTTGAGGCCTGCGTTTGAGCATAGAAAAGGTCTGTGAAGGTATATTATGTATATATATACTTCACAATTTATAAACTATGTGATCTTTATGATCCCCTCCTCCCTTTTCTCCTTCCTCCTCCCCTCTTTTTTTTCCTTTCCTTTCCCCTCCTCTCTTTTGTGTGTTTGTTTTGTTTTGTTTTTTTTCCTTCCCTTTTATTTTTTCCCCTCTTTTTCATCTTATCACAGCCTCAGAGAAGCACTTCTTGCAGTGTGCAATGGAGGAGG